TTTATATTCTTGTGTTGTGTCTGTACTTGACAACAAACTTGACATTGATTATCCTTTCATTGCAGTGGGGACACACACCACTACATGAATGTCTAGATACTGAGTACCGCCGTTATGAAGAACACCGCGAAACGGCAATTTGCCTCATGGAACATGGCGCTTTATTAATAAAAGACAACGTAATGTACATATACAAATAAGAATGCATTATCAAAAGGATACCAGTCAATGGATTTAATACAACAACTGTATATGAGGAGGCACTACTACTAGAAAGATTTCATGTGTCTAAAACAAACATGAGAAATATCAAATCTTAAAAAAAATTAAAAATAAGTAATACCGGTACCCTACAAATATTTTTTTTTTATTATTTTGTACCAATAAATTTGGTGATAAAAAATTATCGTAAAATTATCTTGATGCTAATAGTGTTGCTGCATACTTTGAAAATATTATTTTGTTATATTTTATGAATATTATTATTAAATTAAAATGTATTTATTAATTTTGATTTGGATTCTTTACACTAATTGGAATATTTAATAATTCTTCTCATAATATTTAATTTGAAACTGTTATCGAATGAAATACAACTTTTGTGTACTCGTGTCTGTTATTACAGAAAGGAAAGACGCCTCTTGATTTGTATGATAAGAATAAATGTATTATCTACGGCGCTCGATCGATCAGACAAGAGAAGAAGGAAAAACTGAAAAAGTTACTTTTAGGTAAATTGACGAACCCATTGTATATTTGAGAATCTAATCATCTGCGGTATATTATAGTCTGTACATGAACGCCTAATAAATATACTCAAGTTTTAAATTCTGATTTTGAAAAAGGCTACATAGGTCCTACACATTGGCATTTTTCCAATATTTTTGTATCTATATTATTATGACAATGCTATTTAGAGTGAATATTTAAAAGATTTATTTAATTTTGGTTTTTAAAGTTAATGTAATATACCAGTACTTGAAACAGACATATTTTTATTTTAAGACATGACACTTCCTGCACAAATTAAAGCTAGAGGAAAAGATGCAGTTACTGCATTCGTCAATGAAATTGAAAAAGGTGAAATGACGTTGGTAAATAGCAGAGTGATGTTTCTGGGAAAGGAAGGGGCTGGTAAAACCAGCCTCGTAAATTCCATCCTTGGAAAACAGTAAGTGAAATTGAAGCCTTATTTTATTTCTATTTAAATAGAAAAGACAGCTTGGTGTTACATATATCTCAACGTTATTGAAAGGAAGCTGACTAATTCAAGCAATTTTAAATTACTCTATTTCAACAATTCTAACTAAAATTATGTGCACTTTTAAATAATTTTTGTTTGTAAATCGTCTTTTCATGAATGAACTGCTCCTTGACTGCTTTCAAAGATAATGCCACTTTATCGTTTCAAGCATGTTATTTTGCGCGTGTGTGTGCGTATTGTACGCTCGTTTGTTAAAAAAAGGAATGTGTTGCTAGATCAACGATCAACGAAGGTCAAATTCAATTAGGTCATTATAAGCCTCAAATCAAAGATATCTTTGCTCATACGTAGACTACGAGTAGAAACTGTAATGTAATTTTTCAAACATATCGAGACATTTATTACTAAATTATTAATATAAAATTATCTTAAGCTGTTTTATGTCGTGTATGTAATTATTATGGAACGTAATTCATTATTATTATTTATTATTAGTATCATCATCATCATTATTATTATTATTATTATTATTATTATTATTATTATTATTATTATTTAACATTAATTTATTTTATTACAATTTTAGTATTAGCATTATCATTATAACCATTATTTTTCTTCTTTTTTTTTTAACCGCAATAGATTCAATGAGAATGAACCATCAACTTGTGGTATTCTAACAACAACAGTATTTCAAACTGTAGGTGAAGACTACAACAAGTGGGAGGAACATAAGGATGTAGACGGTATGGATAATAGAATTACCGTAAATACTTAAATAAACGCCCTGGGGAATTTATTGAAGGGAGGCGTTTATAATATTTTGGTGGAAAATATATGTACGTATATATTAAAACTATAAATAGGTATGCACTAATAAACGTTCTGTAATTTCACAGTAAATAGGCCAAATGTATTTCATGATCCCAACAAGAAGAAAACATGTAATTCTACTTGGAGTAGAACATTTATGAGAGTGAGAATGATGTTGCTTAAATTCGTTTTGTCTACAGAAATTCTAGTGAAGCGTTTATTCCAATTGAGACTCGCGGGGGTGGGGGATATTTGAGTAGGCGTTTATTCTAATAAATACTGTTAATTATCAAATATACGTGATCACAAATGAATTTATTAAAAGTTAATGTAGATAATAATTATTTAATTATTGTACAGTGTGTGAATTAACCAAGCAAATACGAGAGCATAATATAGCAGAACGTATTGCAAGGAAGTTGGAACCACCAGAAAGCCAGGAAACCACATCTATGTCCGTATCACCCAGTTCTACAGCATCTCCAATGGTAGAATGATAAATGCTTTATTTTAAACATAATTTTTACATTTCACTATAGTTTAAATTTTTACCTAATTTGCTTTATATTATAATATATGTGTTTAAATTTTCAAAACTTTTGTCAGAGTCAGAGTGTGCCATTTTCGCAGTGGGGAGGGAAGGGTTTTTATTTTTTTTACTTTTTTATTTTATTTATTTTTTTTTATAACGATCCGATGTCCCATGGGTTTTGTCATTTTTTTCATAACAATTTTTTTTCCTCCTCGACAGACTATACCTCCCACCCCACCTGCACTGGAGCCATTCCTGTATCATACAGTACGAATGTCATAATTCATTTCCTGATCCCCAGACATAATGAGCCTGATAGAAGCGGAAACGGGGGGTGGGGGTGGGTAAGAGTTGGCCCTTTTATTTTTCTACTCTTGGACCAAACCCATCGCCAGTAATAAACATAGTTAACTAACGCTATACAGTGCCATTATTATTCAATGTATTGTAGATTCTTTTTGTCATATTCAAACGTACATAAGAAGTTTTTATTTTCGAGTTTAGCAACGAGTGTGTACACATGTTAATTGGCGTCTGTAAATCAATCAATCAATCGAAGAGATTTGTATAGCACCAATTAGTAATGTTCCTTGGTGTTGAGTGACGATGGTATAATTACACAGTGCATAAAATGTCATTATCAAATAAGTTAAAATGTATTTTCTTCAATAATAATACTAATAATTATACTCTAAATTGTAAAGCGCGCGTCTATGTTTCCTTGAAACGTATTCATCTGTAGCCTAAAGAAAACAATTGATCGAAATCTTCCTTCTTGCGTAAATACTACCACAGGGCGTAGGTAGGAACTCTCTTTGGAATGCTTTTGTTCTCATTATGTTAAGTATAAAACCTGTCCAGACTCTCAAATTTTATTTGAAGGTAAACAAAAAAACATGTGACATGCCCTAATATGGTCATGATTGCGTCACATCATGACCATATACAGTGTAACCACATTTAAATTTCATATAAAACAAACACAATAAGATTTTACTAATTTAGACAAATTATTAAAATAAAGTTCTGTAAAGGTTAACTACAGTTTTTTTTTTAGTACAAATTGTAATTAAAATGTGTTATATATTATAAAAACTGTATTGCATAAAAATACTAATCGCTTGGCATTAAGAAATAGTAATAGGTAAAACAAATGATAGACTATGTTAAACGTTTAATATTAAAGTACCATTTCCGGGCTTATAAAAGAGTATTTTTAAAATTATTTTTAAGGGCCCAGTCGTCTAACAGGAGAAGGTTTTGTCGTGGAATTTTTTTTTTTAGTATAAGGTCGGAACTTCGTTCAGGCTAGCTTCCTCATTGAGCTATTTGTGTTAATTTTCATCAAGGATACCCTCATAATGCTTGGAAGATTTCATTGAGATCGTGGAAGCAGTCTCGATTTCGACTTTGACATTAGACAATTATGAATTCATATTACAATAATTCATGCCTAATAAAATAGCTAATAAAATTCATAAAAAATTGGTAAAATATTCGAAGCTTCTAACAAGCACCTCCCCTGGTCAACAGGCTTAGATGCTCGCTTTATGCTCGCATACTGGATAAATTACCCCTCCCCCACTTTCTAAAACGTTCTTCTGACATTAATCCCCTTATTTTTGATTCGTCACCTGGCCGTTTTACGGTATTTTGTAGTGTTGATATTTGGTACTTAATGTTTCCACATTTTCAACTATGCTAGTAATGTTTTATTATAAATAGAATATTTTAACTACATAGGAGTAACTAAAAATAATGATTAAAATAATAATAATTTACCAACTACTATACAATTTTTACAAACTATTTTATTGCAGGAAACATCAGAAGGAGCTACAAGTCTAACTTCAGAGGAAAAGGGTATTTATTATTTAAGAACACTGTTCATCACTCCCCTTATATCATTACAAGAGAATTGGGCAGCCTTGTTTGCTTTTACATTGCACGTTGTCTATTTTTCTAATGCCAGCTAAATAAACTTAAACATTTCCCTGACGAGAGCGTAATAAGGTGGTCAGGCATCGCTCAAAAGGGATACAATGAAAAGCTACCGGGAGTTAAAGTTTAGCTATTTCAAAAGCATGTAAAAGCTATATTGTATTTCCTCCCCGATGAATTGTAATTTTTCTTTTCCTCCCTCCCCCTCCCTCTCTAATTTTGCCATCTTACGCGCATTTACTTGATAATTAAGCCCTCCCTCACTCAGATTTTCACGTGTCCCTTTCATCTTTCTGTCGATAATCCTAGATTTTAGAATTCCACATACCTTTCAGTACATTTTAAGCAGTAACGTAATATTGCTCATGGTTATCTTATCATCTTTTCTTGCCATTCCTCATAAATTTCATTCAATATCATCATCATAATCATTCATTTATTATTACATTATCCTCATTAATTTAGTATTGTATTCCATTGTCATCACCATCATCCATATTCAGACCATCTCTTCGGCTCTCAAAATATATGAGTTCGAATTTTATTTCCTTTTTTTTTTTCAGAAACTTCTGATGTGTCTCAGAGTGCTGCAAATGTATCGACTAGACAGTTCGATAAACTCCCAGAAGAAATTTTAAAAAAAGTTGTAGCTAATCTTGACCGCCAGAATCCTGAACCAAGCAGGAGCGCAGAAGAACCAAAACCCGGCATTTTTAAACGATTCTTCATGAAAATAACGAGAAACAAGCCTACTAACAAAGATGCACGCTTTGAACGTGTTGTTGAAAATGTACCTAGTGATGTAACATGTATATGGGATTATGCAGGCCAAATTTCATATTATATAACTCATAGGGTAAGCAGCATAGCACTTTACTGATTATAGTGTACAAGGCTACATTCTAATATTATTTAATCGTCACTGGATATTAGATTATCTGTATCAGAAATAGATTTGTATTTATTTCAAATGTGATGTTATAATAAACGCGAATAATTCATAATAAAGAAAAATTGGTCGTCTGAAAAGTTTAATCTCAACCATATGACTATAGCCAATCACATACTGTTCAATATTTTGAGAATTCTGTAGGTGCTTAAATTATATTATATATTAAAGTTTAAAGCCAATTATCATTAGGCCTACAGCCACTAACGTAGTGTTCACTCGAGAGTTCGTGGATGTTTAAATATATTAATGTTTGTTGCACCACTACAATGAAGCAACAAAAATAATTTTAAAAATATGATAAATAGCCTACAGCAACATTACTTATTCACATCAACATGTATTAAAATAATAAGTACATAAATCTACAATGAAGAGTAAATTGGAAAATAATATTTAGATACGGTAAATTATTAAACAAAAGAAAATACGCTAATGCCATAGAAACTTACAAACAGAGAAAAATATTTAATCATGGAACGAACAAAGCCAAGGATAACCCATATGACTACTTTCATTTGTGTCCTTAAAATTATTGATAATACAATAGCGATCGTGCTGATAATAGTTGATATAATGATGCATATCTACTCAACAACACTAATATAGTTTACGCACTTAAACCAAGAACTTTCAAAATACAGTAAGCGTTGATTATTTAATTTTCTTTTAATGATCAGTTGACATTTAGGTGATGTTTAATTTTACTTTATGTTTAATATTTTTCCATTAATCGATCATGTGTTTACGTACTTATTTTTTCCTTTCCAGTTTTTCTTGACAGATGGATCGTCATATGTCGTTGCTTTTAGTTTGTTTGAGCCTTTAAATGAATTGGCAAAATCAAGAGGTCCACTAAAAGTAAATAAATCATTTCACCTTTTCTAATATGCAATAAAAGAGAAATAGTTTCCATTAACTTATTGCATATCATATCTGTTTTTGTATATTAACTATGTTCTTATATTTTGTATAAATAGTTTGAGTAACTTTGTAATTTAATAGTCTTATCTATGACACTCATTTTATTTTCTCTCTTTACTCTCCTTTCTTCCTTTCTTCTTTTTTTTTTTTTTTATCAGGATCGGTTTGAAATGACTAATCTCCAAATGATTATTTTCTGGATACGGTCAATATATGAGCACGCTGTTCTACAATATAATGCAAGTACGAAATTGATAAATGACACGATAGCCTCACCCACAATCAGTTTGGTTGGCACTCACAAAGACAAGTTAGAGGGAAGTGAGGAGGATAAACAGAATCAGGTAAGATATTACATCTCAGTTTTAAACATAAGTATACTCGAATTTTGTGTAATGTAAAAATTTAAAAAAAAATGTTAATACATAACGTGATAAATTTAATCTCTACGTAAACAAAGTATTAACAAATATTTTATTTTTTTTAAATTTATATTTCCAACATAACATAATACATCAAATGACAATTAAATAACATGA